TTTGCACACTATAGCACCTTCCATCAAATGGTCTCAAAGCACTTTACAAAGAATGGATTAAGCCTCACAACACCCCTGTGAGGTAGGGAAATATGAATGTTTTACAGCTGGGGAAACTGAGGAACAGTGAAGTTAAATTATTTGCCTAAGGTTCCACAGCACGTCAGTGAAAGAACTGAGAATAGAACCCAGATTTGCTTCTTAGACCTGTGCCTTAACTACTATTGACCATCCTTCCTCTTGTTCTTGCTTGTTTTTGGACCAGATCTTCCATGTCAGAATTCCTAGATGTGCCACTCTTTTTCTGAGGACTTAATACTTTGGTACACCACCTTGAATATCCATATTCTAGTTAGGCGGCCCACTGAAACTTCACTAAGCTTGATATATATAGTATGCTGTACCTGAGCAATTGCATATAAAAATTTAATCAACATACTATTAGAAACTGCTTCATAAAAAAGGAAATACACATGGATATCTTCACAACAGTTTGGATCAGTGTCACAATTTTTATCTAAGTAGTTGGAGGGGGAAATTATTTTTGTTTTAATTAGATCTTACAGTTCATTTTATTGTTTCATTCAAGATAAATGGATCTTGCAACTTGGCACTATCCTAACTTACTGAAAACAGGTGTGGTAGTTTAGAGACTTGATTGTAAGATTTGTACAGATGACAATTCCACAACCTCACTAAAGGCTATTTTCCAATATGTATTTTTTTGCATTCTGAGGCTTTCCCTCACTATTGATTTTCAAACTTTCTTTGCTTCAATTTAAATTGTTAGGTGTAGGTCACCTTTGACCAACAAGAACTGCTCCTCTTCATCTCTATAGCATTCTTCAGCACGGAAGCTATTGCATTTTTCCTCCAACACAACCTCCTTCTTCTATCCTGTACACAACACTTTAACCATTACTTACAGACCTTATTTTTGTTCCCTCCCCTTTTCAAATTGTTCCTGTACCATTGTGTCTGAAACTGAATATACGACAGCTACATTAGTGCTTGAGAAACAAAGTTACTTCCTTAATAAGCAGTACCTCTTTTCTATCCAAACTAACATTGAAGATTTTATATTATATATAAAATTTGTATCCGAGTGGTGTCTTCTGCTCTATTTTTTACGTCAAATATAAACTGAATATCCTTCTCTCCCTAGCTAAAGCTGACCCAATCTAACACCTCCCCTTCTAAACTTGGATCTTTGATTTTTAACTTCTACTTATATTTTCCATGAAAGTTTTTACTCAACTCTACACAGAACACGTTTTTCAGTTTTTACTATCAAGTGAGTATTGTGCCAGACACAGCTGTTTTAGATTACTAAAATTTTACAAGCATGTTTTCTACCACCATCTCATTTAAACCCTGATTCAGCAAAAACAGAGTTTAGAATGAAAATGCCCATACCCAGTCTTACCTTAGAAGTCTATTTAGGAAAAACAGATTGAGCATCCTGCAGTTAGCTAGACTTACAAAAGGTCTGCACAAGAGAATGAAGATGGTTCTTTTTTTGGGCTAAGGGGAAAGGGAAAAAAAAAAAAAAAAGCTTTTGCTAAGGGCCAAAGACATCTGGTGTTATTTTATTTTTTTAAATCAGCAGGATCATCATACATATCAAGCAGAGAGGTGTATTTTCTGAAGTACATTTCTTTGAATAGCTCACACTACTGAGGAGGTAAAGGGATGTAGGCTATTGAGTGTGTAATTAGCAGCATGTTTATGTTACCTGAAATTGTGTTATGTCAAGGAAAGACTCTGCTATCATCGAGTTTTGGCACTTAGGCAAAGAGTCATAACTACAGAATTCCTCTGTGTGTCTAAGAGATGCTGACTTTCATAGCAAGAGTAAACAAACTCCCCTCCAGGAGTCTTGCCGTCTTTGTTGCTGTCAAATTCAGAGCAGACCAAGGAAATCAGATGGGTTAAAAATTTCAGCATATGGAAGTGTAGTAGTTTCCACAAACCAAAGGCCACGCATTCAGATATGAAATGAGCCTCCATGAAGTCAGAGAACCATAGAGAAGACTTAAAAGAATGATTTAAAAATAGATTTTTAAAAAAGTTATGACAGTTTCCCTGGATAAGTTTGATAAAGCTGGCTACAAAAAAGTAGTAGAAATCAAATACCATGCATGGCAACTATTTAGCTATTGCTTCATTACTTTTGGATTGAGACTAAGCAAGACAAGTCTAGAGTAACAGAGTTGAGTTAAATAGCAACTCTGCTCTACACCTTTCTGATATAATTAATTAGCATACATGCCAATATTCCTGTAGCTGAGGTTTTGGAAATCCTATTTTGGAGAAAGCCCCAGGAGATAGTATAAGCACATTCTCCCTCCCCACACCTCCTAAAGTTTTTCCAGTTTTAGCAATTTTATCATTCACCTTAAAACTTAGGCTGCCATCAAAAACTCAAATCTAAACTATTCCCTTGTGCACCAATTTTAGTGTAATTGGACGCTCTCTTATACTAATGGCTTTTTAATTGTGTGTCATCTCTTTTCTGCATAAGACATGCATTGAGGTAAATGCTCTTTTACATCATAAATCTATATGTTATCCACATGAGTGTTTACACAAGTAAAGTAATTTGAAGTTGCATAGAACTAGATACCACTGACTGATATTTTGACTATACTTCTGCTGTAAAGGTGAGAATTTTCTTCATTTTAAAATAAGGCTTCAGAGCTCATGCATAATTTTCAAATGACATTTATCATCATGTTTAATTAAAGTGGAATATAGCAGCCATGTAAATCTGAACCTCATTTCAGACAGGTCATTGTACTTTTAGGTCATTTTTAAATCTGCAAGGAGTGTGATTCAAAATAATATTTGTTTTATTGCAATAAGGTGCTAAATATCATCCTTCAACAAAAAAATAAAGTTACATGCCTTAATTTGGATTTTGTTAAACTCCCTAAATGCACTGCTTAATCAGAAAAGTCCCTACAAAAATTCCAGATGCCTTGTTTTGTGAAGATATTCTAGCAAGAACTTAGAATGACATGTATTGTGTTTAAGAAAGTGTGACTTTTCACGAGTAGTCTTAAAGACCTCCTTCCATCCACTGTATAGGGAGTAGCAAACTCCAAAGAGGACCCACCTTTAAGGTGAAGACTTAGTCCATTTTGTGTGTCCTTTCAGTCTATGGACACTGCTGAGAATGCCACTTAGGGCTAAAAACAGATGGTGATTTGAATTAGATACTATCCAGAGGCCTCAGTCCAGCTACCACACTATGAAGGCTATGTAGTACCAAACATTGCCATGAGCTGTTAACTTTGGCTCTTCTGACCTGGATTTGAACTTAATGACTGCACACCTCCATTATGTCCCAAAGCTATCCAGTTATCCTCCATTTATTTAAATGCTGCATGGTGTAGGCTAGGACTACAGGTAAAGATACATTTGACTCCAGGATCCATGTATATTTCCACTTTATTAGATTTATTAATGTTACAGGTTTTCTTGCACTGCCAAAACCATGCCTGAGAATTCAAATAAAGGTACAATGGACAGCCTCATCTACCCATCATACAGTATATTAAAAACTTGATTCATGTGCATTAACAATTCCAATATCCTTCTTTAAAATGTCAGAACAAAGTTGGGATTTAGTATTTCAGGTTTCTACCATGTGATTGAGTGACACTTTTACTGCAAATAGGACGATCTTAAACTTTTAGTGACATAAACCAACAAATGTTTTGTTGGCACAGATATTCTTTCAGGGAAGATACATTAATACCGTTGGACTCAGCCATGTAAATCTACTTTTAGTGGTTTTGATTCTCAAAATAAAGTCTTCAGGTTTTTTAATTTGTCTTTTGATCAGTCTACCTAATCATAGCTGCTAGTTTGGAAATTTTACTGAGAAAGTTAACTCTACAAGGGCTTTAAGGCCAGTTCTATACCAAGCACATTGTGAGAACCGGGGCAAGCCCTGATCCCACTGAAGTCAACAGCAAGATTCTTACAGACTTCAAAGGAAACAGACTTTAGAGCATCAGCAATTAAATCAAAGGAAACTAACCATGTAATTTCTGCATGAGCCACCAAGCCTGGTCTCCAATACATAAAAGTACTACCACATCAGTAAGATTGTTTTGCCATTGGCAAGTATGAAGTGGACAAGGGAATAAGTCTGCAGCTCCTCCTTTTGGCATTCACATTTAAGGGGGAGAAACCTAGATTTGCAAAGAGGTGCTTACTCACTTAACTAGCATACTAAAAACAAACTAAACAAAGCAAGGGGAAAGAGAGATGGTATGCCTGGGGGGAGTTTGGGTGGTTGTCAGATTCTCTTTCATTGTATAGAAGCAACTGGGTATTATTTATCCTACAGCTTTAGCATACACATGCCATTGTATTTATCTCCACTAAATTAAGTCAATAGAGCTGGCCAAAAATTGAACAAAGCTGTCACTCCTTCCATTGTCACTAGGCTTCCTGCAGTTGAGAAAATGCCATTTAAAGTGAGGATTTCTGCCTGGAACAGTTTGCAAGCTCACATGGTGATCTGAAGCAGCCATAACAAAATGAAATCTCACTAGGTTTGATGTTATCCTTCCTTCAGAGTCTTATACCAGCTTATCCATATAAGATAGGATTGGTTGGAGACAGCTGTTACTTTTGCTACAACAGGAAAACTTATCTTGAGGTTAATATTATTACTGCCCTGTATACTGCATGTATTTTTTGAAATTATGTTCTGAAGACTAGAGTGGGAGCACAGGCTTCTGCTGTGTACCAAATCAAAGCCTACTGAAGTCCTAGTCCTTCAGAGAAAGAAGCGACCCAATTATGAAAACCAAGATAAAACTTATCACTATTAACATATTTCACATTTTTACTCGAGTATACTGCAATTTTATACCAGAAACGGGGAAGGCATTTTTTGTAGAACAAAGAAAACGCTTGAACACAACTGTGAAAATGGCTAATGCAAATAGCCCAATCAATCCCCACCCCATACACCCTCCAATTTTGCATTGGAATGAGTTTTGTTTTGCGGTTACCTCAGTACAGCTCTATCTAAAAAGGTAAACAAACTACAGCTCGGTACTATACTTTGATAGTTTTTGAAAGTGGTATGCTCCAGAAAGTCTCTAGTAGGCTATGGCTACACATGAAAGGATTCCTCAGGATGGGACACCAGACAGGTTTCTCATTAAGGTCACTTAAATCTTTGTTATTTATAGCAAATCAGAACCAAATGGCTGACTTCTGCAGGATTTCTGACAGGAACCCAGTAGAGAAGCTGGTTTCAAGTTTCAGATGGCCACTAAAACAGTTGTAACCTTCTTTTCCAGAAGTTGTGATCCACATGGTGTCCACAATGAGTGCAGCAAGTCTGAGGTAGTCAACCCTTACGAAGGCTCAGTATCTGAACATAAAAAGATTTTGAAATGACCACTGACTGTAGATACTTTTTCAGAGTAATTAAAGAACACTGATGAATCTTGTTCAACCATTTACATTAATTTCCCCCAAATCCAATGGAGAAGAAAGTTGTAACACATTATGCTTCCATAGTGCGAGAGCAATCACTTATGTCAAAGTAGTCTGCACTTGCCGCAGCAGATCCAGCAGAAATAAGATGGCATGTTCATCATAGTCGTTAGCTGTAGTTTAGTTACCTTAGTAGGAGGGTTACCAAAAAAGCATTCCTTAATTGTAATGTGTATGCAGCTCTACTGATCCCCAAGCACAGCATATTGGTTGTCTAGCTGAAGTTTAAGTGCCTGGTTTTTTGAGACCTCATCCCTACCTCTATTTTTGTGTCTTACTACTTCAAAGCTCTTCTCCATTTCTTTATCCCTAAGGGAAAATAAATGTAGTCAGTAATTGTCTTATTCACTAGCTTCTGAATTGTGAAATTCCTAGCCAATTTCCACCCCAAAACCACCAAAATTAGAAAGTTACACTACAAATGCAGAGTAAAGTGAGTGGGTTGGATTCCACAGGATATCCATGCATTCCCCAAGAGAACAGAAGGTTGCATAGACTATTTCTAGAGTAGACCTCTTGCCCTTTCTGTGCGATTTGTTCAGATTACATTGTTGGCTTCATTTCCATAAATCCATTCCAATATGGTATACTGTATAATGCAATACATATGGTTAACACTTTCAAATCATGCTATAGCATTTCTCTCAAAGGTGATAGAAAATAGAGGCCCATTCCCCTCCCAGTGAGGTCTGAACATTGCAACATGAAACATAACCAACAGTCATGTAGAAGATATGGAAAGAGTTGTATTGCAGTTCGTATGTTACTCAAGTATAATTCAAAATTTCTCATGCTGGTCTTTAAGAGTAACACTGCTCATGTCCTAGAAAAGCCAAGACATCTTTGATAACTCTGCTTGTTCAATTGGCAGACATCAAACTAGACCAGAAAGAAAGCTTATGCTACTGTGCTGTACCAATCAATGCCACATCAAGAAGTGATAAGAGCAGATGAGTTAGAGGTCTATTTAACCCTTCAGCAGGGAAGGAGTCTATGGGAGGGATAGGAAACTCAGGCAATGTCACTCTGGAGTCTCCTTAAAGTCACTCAGGGCCCTCCAAACTCACAGTTAATGTAATAACTGCAGAAACACTGTCTACAATATTCCTCCCTTTGCTCCACACAACACCTTTTGAAGTTGCCCATGATAACACAGCTCTGCTCAAGCAGCATGTTGCTATTACTTCCCTGCTGACAGCTGCCACAGAGCACTGGTTAACATGGAAAGGAACTCGATACTGTCAAGATCAGCAGCGTTTTATTTAAGGAAATCCCTGAATGTAGGGATTAGATGGCCAAGGAGAGTGGTAATCACCTAGTCTGGCCCTCTCCTCATTAAGAGAAGTCCCACTCCTCAGACCTTTGAGATGCATTGGGGAGGGGTGGGGGTCTCCATAAAGTCAGAGGAATGATAAAATTTAGACCCCAACCCCATCAAGTAATCATTTCTGCTATTTATTGACCTCTGTGGAAAGATCAAGATCTGACACCAAATAAGGAGTTAGGACTCTGATGGGAAAGCATTTTAAATAGGCATCTTAGAGGAACTGATTAAATATACTTACTTTCGGCTATCTGCATGCTTGGCAGTGGATTGCAATGATGGAAACTGTGTATCACTATAGATCTCTGGTGGTCCTTGTGGTGCTTTCCGTGTCCTGGTCTCCCTAGCACCAGGCGGTCGGTATACACCACTGGATTGCACTGGTTCAGGGGTTTCTGTAACTAAGAATTTATTAGCAGAGTTTTAGACAAATAAAAAAAGTGTATAGCCTTATTTTTAAACTCTGGCTTTGGGCCCTATTTTGTTATCTGCTTCCAATGGTCAGATGTTCTAACCTAAGAGTTGAACTAATACCTAAGATCTTAGTTTCGGTTCATTAGTGACAGTGTTCAAGATTATCCAACTAATTACTAGACCTTTTTAAATTACAGTGCAGTTTTACAACAGCACCACGTAGTCACAGGTGGTAAAAGCCACTGAACAGAACTTGAGTAATTGCTAACATTTGTGATTACTAACTAAATTAAGTTGTTGTATTCCCCATATTTTCCAAATTTAGTTCAAAGAAACTGCCTATGGCCTCAAAGCAGACTGAAGTATTTGCTAACAAATAATGAAATGTAATCTATTGTAAACTTGTAAAGGAGGGAAGAATACACTTGCATGACATTGCTAGATCAAGTGCCCCACCCTCATTAAGTTTAACTAGATTTTTCCAATTCCAAGAGCTCTTACATCCCACTGTAAGAATCTTAAGAGTTTTAAATTTTCCTGATAACCAAAAGCAGGGTTTATTATTAGATCAGTCATAAAATAAAAGCATAATTTAGCTTTTTGTATTTAAGATGCCATTTAGTAATGTATTTGTATTTGTTTAAGAGTTTTTAGATGCAGTCAGTTTACGACCTTTCAGCTGTTCTGCAGGTTATCAGGGCCCTAGGAGAAACAGCATCAATGAAGTAGGGATATCCAATTAAGGGTTGAGTTACACATTTAAGTTAATAAAACTGAGCTTGAGTTAGGTACCCCTACTACCCTTAAATCCACAGCAACTCTGCTGGTTACACTCAGTGGTGACTATCTTGTGTCCTCTGGTAAAGCCTTCTTAATCTATTCAAGGTATACTTAAAGGCTCAAGGGAATTGGTTGCTCTCCACATTGAGACAGCTATATGGTTTTGGCTTAAAACTTCTGATGGAAGTGCTGCAAAAGATCTGACTGAGTCAAACAGGAGTTTGTCCTCTAGTCATCCGCTTCTCTTTCCATGCCTCCATCTGAAGTCTGCTTAAACACCTGGGTACATGCCAACAAAGAGCACTATAGGTTTTAATTTACAGAATTTCTAAACTTAGACGGAGTCCTTTATAATGAGCATTGGTTCTGCCGTGCATAGTTGGCCAACTGTCACATACTCCAGTAGGTTGCTTGTCCAAACTGAGCTTGGATTATGAATTGTAACCACTGTTGTAATTTACACATGGAAGGATGAAAAGGGAAGTTGGCTCAGAAAGAAGCAATAGTTTCCTTCTGCATCCCTTCATAGTTCTGTCACATTTCTAGCACTACATTTAGGATTCTGCTTGTGCAAAAAAGCAAGAAGCTGTCAAAAGTTGAGGCAAGGCAGTGCCAATGGCAACTCAAATCTTCCTCCCCATACCTCAAGTGAGAAGTGTGCTGAGAAAGCAAGAGACTATTTATGATAGATTTGTTAGTGGAGGTAGCAGACTAAGTCATTTTGGACAGAGACTACATTTAAAGGCTCCCCCCAACCAAAACATCAGACGACAATCCTTTCACCATGATATAATCGGGAAGAGTGAAGGACTGTAGATGTTTATACAGATGTACTAGTTATTGAATCTTGTTTGAGAATCATTACATTAAATGTCAGATAATGACTACAAATATTTCTGCTCATTTACTATGTGATTATGAATTATCATGGCAGTATTTCAGGTATGGGGAGGGGGGGGAAAAACAGATCAAATGAGGAAACTAAGCTTAAGTTTGCAAACTATACCAATTGGATGTTATTTTCTCCCATACCACTCCTGAAAGGTATTTAATTTAGTCTATATTCCATTGGGAAGTTAGATTAGCTATATTTATGAAGGTGTATAGTAAGATACAAGTTTAAAAATGATCTACACTTCAGTTTTTGGAGACCCTATTAATGTAAAGGTTTCTGTCTAAAAGATTAACTCCTATCACAACACTCAAGATTACCATACCTTAAATTAGAAAACTTTTTTTTTATTTTATACCTTTGGCAGCACAGTCTACTCCAGGGGTCGGCAACCTTTCAGAAGTGGTGTGCCGAGTCTTCATTTATTCACTCTGATTTAAGGTTGTGCGTGCCAGTAATACATTTTAACGTTTTTAGAAGGTCTCTTTCAATAAGTCTATAATATATAACTAAAATGTATGCAAAGTAAATTAGGTTTTTAAAATGTTTAAGAAGCTTCATTTAAAAATTAAATTAAAATGCAGCGCCCTCCCGACCGGTGGCCAGGACCGAGGCAGTGTAAGTGCCACTGAAAATCAGCTTGAGTGCTGCCTTTGGCACGCATGCCATAGGTTGCCTACCCCTGGTCTACTCAGTTTCATTTTTCTCTGCAGAGTCAGTTTTACAGGTTTGCTATTGAGTAAAAAGACCCATGCAGAGGTAATTAGGAGAGTTTAGTACTACAAACATTGACAGGGAGCTCTGGGAGCAGGAGTAATACCAGAGACTTTTATCTCAACTTCTTAAGAGTTGGATTTAAAGTTGGTATGCCTTTACAGGCCAGTAAAAAAGACAAGAAAAACTTACCAATAGTTTCAGCAACAGGTGCTTGCACAGGAGCTGTCTTGTTCCAAGGACCAGATGCTCTCTCTACACCACCACCAGCCTCCTCCCAGTTGTCACCTGGTTCTTCTCTCTTTTCACCTTCATCATCTTCTTTTTCACTAGTGGAATAGTAGTTAGCATGTTGTAACCAAAAGACTTAAACACTTGCCAAAAAGATTAGACAGTGTGTGAAAAAAACACTTCAGTTCCTTCCTTATATCAATGCCATCTTCTCATTATTGGAGTGGCTAGACTACAACTGCAAAACAACTTAGCCATCAAGCCCTGGGATAGGCAGTGTCAACTTCTGCAGTAGTTTCACTTTTAACTCATGAAATTTCATTATCTAAATGAATGTGAATACAGATCTCAAGACACAGAATATACATACTGTACTAGCTGGTCAGTTTTATGCTGTCCCTAAGATTTCATCTTGCTCAAAGTTTTTGTACTAAGATAATTAGGCACTGAAATTTTTTCTAGGGAAAAGCTGGAGTTTGGCAGTTATTTGAGGTGGTGTTGAGATATCGGACACCTGAGAAAGGAGCAGAAGGGAGTCCATGATTGCGAACACCATTCTAGCTGGATTTTTCTCAGATAGTAAGCTGTCAACATTTAACTGCCATCTTGAGGTTTGAATTAGTTTCACTGTAGCGACTGGAGCAATTTATACTTCAGAATTACTGTCAGACTGCCTGAAGATTCAAGAAGCCCTAATCTTCTGTTAGTGTTTAAGATTCCTTGCAACCATAAGGCTAGAAACAGCAAATGAAAGCTTACGTTCTAAAATACCACTTGTCACAGAATTGTATTTCCTGCCAGCAGAATCCATGAGACTTCCTTCCTTATGCTTGTGAGCCAAACCTGGTTGGAGATTTTAAATTTTATCTTGGCTATTACTTAAGGAACAGTGAAGTCATTTTTCTTACTTTATATCAGCATTATACTAATTTTTCACAGCATTCATTTTTGGTCAGTGAAAATCCAAACTAATGAGTAAATTTATAAAGAGGTATAAAATAAGCAAACAGCCACACTAGCTAAGCATTTCAGATGTTGATACACTTAGTTTAGCAAAACGATTTACAGATTGATTTAAAAGAGCAAGTTATCTGGACTTTACTCCTGTGGAAATTCTGTGCCCCTGCAGCGTGGCAGAAAACCATCCCCCCTCCCACAGATTCCCTTTGCTTCCTTGCAGAAAATGGTTTCTCTGGAGAAGCAAAGAGAAGCTGCACAAGTGCTCACTCACTTCACCCCTCCCAGCTCAGACCTATCTGTTGGGGGGGGGGGGGGGGGGGGATGGAGAAGAGGAGAAAACAGGGGAGAAAGGGGGGGGGGGGGGGGGGGGGGAAAATAGGAGCCCATATAAAAAAAGCCCCAAATATCAGGACTGTTCCTTTAAAATTGGGACATCTGGTCACCCGGGGGCGGGGGTCATCTGGGGATGCCCCGGGACATTAGTTCTTGGGGGGGGGGGGGGGGGGGAGGGAGAGAAAGAAGAAGAGAGAGAGAGAAGGGGAGGAGAAGAGACGGAGTCCCCCTTCCCTGCATGGAGCAGCCAGGGCTAGGTCAGATCAAGCCCCAGAAACTTCCCCTGGCAGCAGGAAGCTCTGTGCGGTGGCTCTGGGTTTCAGGTGCAGAGGTCGAGGCTCAGCGTGGGGGGGGGGAGGGGGGGGGAGAGGAGAAGAGAAGAGATAGAGAGATCCGGATGCACAGGGATTGGGCAGACAGGTAGAGCAGCTCCCTGTACAGTGACCCCCTCCCCACCTGGAACCCCCCCCCCCCATCGTATCAGAGCCCCCCAGCACCCAGAACCCCCCAAGCCCTCACCCTGCCAAGCCTCATTTCCTGCATCAGGAGCCTCCCCCCACCCAAACCCCTACCCCACTGAGCCCCAACCAGCTGCACTCTAACCCCCACCCTATCGAGTCCCACTCCCCATCCACTTCCCCCCACTGAGCCCTAACCACCTTCAGCTGGACTCCCCTGCAGAATCTCATCCCCCCCTGCACCCAGAACCCCGCACTGAGCCCCTGTGCATCCAGATTCCCCCCTGCACCCAGACCCTCCACCAAGCTGCCTGCACCCAGACTGCACCACACATAACCCTGGTTCTCCGAGAGAATTCTGCACCAAAAAATTTTTAAAAAATTTAAAATTCTGCAAAGTTCTGCATATTTTAATTGTCAAAACAACACAGAAATGTAATCGGATCATTTCAATTATTTTGGTAATTTATTTAAAAATACTTGCCAGCAAATAATTGAAAATGGTGTGATTATACTGTGATATTTTGATAAAAAATATGCAGAATTTTAAAATATTGTGCACAGAACATGTAATTTTTTAGCGCAGAATTCCCTCAGGAGTAGGACTTTGACAGTGGGATGTATCTACAGCAGTAGAGCCTCAAGATGGCAACTATGTACACTGATTAAAATCTCTTCATAAAACTTGAGTCTTCTATGCTTACAAAATAGCCACGGACTTCATGGAACTGTAAAGCTTCAAGACACCCATACACAGCTCTGGGTGGTTTCACAATACCTTATATGTCAGGACCAAGGACTTTTTGCTGAAGTAAAGGCAGTGAGTAGTGATCTTGATAGGAAACAAAAACTAAGCTGGAAAAAAACTGAAATCTAGGAATTGAAAGAGAAGCTTTCAATACAGGGATTGTACTTTATGAACAGGTTTTAAAGGACTGAAGAACTATTTTACACAGAATTTGTGGGAGCATATTCAGGAATCCCACCGTATTATGTGGGGCACTTCCAGCATCCTAGACAGGCACTCTGGAAGTGCTTTCTTTCCTTGAAGGTAAGAAAAAACCATTCTACAGAGACTTTCCATTGAAAGAAGCACATCTGGAAGATGCAAGTCAAGTTCTGATGAAAGCTTGATTAACAAAATCTTTCCAGAAAAAGAAATGAGATGGTCATTAAACTAGTCCTTACTGGTTACTTCCCTTTAGTCTCTGAACAACTAAGTGATATTTGTGGGTATGTGGAAGGTCAGGTTGGTGAAGAAATATTAAAGGGCACACAACAACAGGACTAGCAGCTCTGAGGGCAAAAAACTGCTTGGGTTAACATGGAACTACCATTATGACCAAGAAGGAATGAGCCTTTTGTAATGGTAATTAGATCAGACTTAGATTAGGCAAAAAGAAGCAATTAGTAGTTTTGATGCAATATTTAGGCATTTTAAAGGGGTCCTAATTTTCGTAAAGTTCCAAGCACCTGCCCTCTGGAAAAGTGAGTTTTAAAGTGTCAAATTGGACATCCAAGTATCCCTAGACACTTGCAAGATTAGGCCTCTGTGGAAAAAACAAGTATCTCGGTTTTCAAGACCAAAGGCCACAGATTACTGGAGCATCAAACTTGTTGGGTAGATGGAAGTCAGGTTGCATATATAGTGTGTGTGTGTGTGTGTGTGTGTGTGTGTGTGTGTGTGTGTGTGTGTGTGTATACACACACACACACACACACACCCACCCACCCCGAGGATGTCACATGGGCCACAGCTGTGTGCTAATTGGGCCACAGGTTAAGAACCACTGCTCTCTTCAGAGAGATCCATGGATAATCTACTGCAGTGGTCCCCAACTTTTTCCGTGGGGCGGGCGCCGGACGACTAGCCGCTGAGGACCGTGGCCACCGGACAAGCAGCTGCCGAAATGCCGCCGTGAAGCGGCAACGTCAAGAGGCATCGCTGCTGAAATGCCGCCGAAATTCGGTAGCATTTCGGCGGTAGCACTTCTTGACATTGCCGCTGCTTGGCGTCATTTCAGCATCTGCTTTTCCAGCGGCCAGTAGGCTAGCGCACATGGATGCCCCGGCGGGCGCCATGGCGCCCACGGGCACCGTGTTGGGGACCTCTGATCTACTGTGTTCCATTGTGATAGTGTGGAGATCTTGTGGACAGGATCACAGACCAGGAGTTGGCTTCCTTTAAGAAAAGGTCTGATAGTGCCCACTTGACTGTTCACACAAGTCATGGCCATAGTGTTGTTCAGAATAAGTGTGTTGAGTTTTTAGGGTATTCAGCTGAAAAATCAAGTCATCCAGTTAATGTCATTTATGTTCAACAAATGATTATACCATGTGCTCTGTACAATTGTGGTCATACCACCCCCACCCTTCCCCTATTCCCTCAAACTAGGCTGGTATCCTAGGCCAGGATTTACCCAAGTAGCCTGGTCTGGAGTCAGTTAACAGATGATCACAGGAGGGATCTGCTGGATAATAGACAAGAGTGGACACAAAAATGAGAAGTTTTTGCAATTAAATCATGGGAGTCCCTGACAGAGGACACTAGCATGCCCCATAGTCTCAGAAGAAAGTGGCTTGAAGAGTCCTTATTGGACAATACCCAACAAGCCAGTGGTTGTATTATTTTCTCTCTTCAGGGCGACAATGTTTAGGCCGAGGACTCTTATCACACCAAGAATGTGAGTGGATTGTGGGGTGAATGGATTCAGTTACTTCTGTGGTGGGGCTGAAGTGACTGAAGAAACTGGATGGTCTGACTGTCCTGTACTGATTTTTCCCTCCAAGAAAGCTCTAAGGTATGGTCTATGTAGGAGAATGTGAAGAAGTCTTTCTTCTCTAAGGTCTGAACCTAAGACGATCAATTTTCTGGCGCCACAATCCCTTTAGTACTACTGTTGTGCCAAAAAGCAAAGCTTTGTGTGGAGCTGGAAACCCCAACAAGAGAAATCTAGGAAATAAGGCTGAAGAGTGGACTGGGTTACAGATACACCACCTTGAATATGAGAACTCAAAATTGCCTTAGTACATGAGACAAAGTGATCTCAGGGTCTCCTTACTGAAACTGGATTTCCATATAGGGTGCAAACTAGGATGAAATTTTTTAAAATAATATATATAGATATAGATATATAGATAGAGAGAGAGAGATTCAAAATCCAAATTCACTTTTGCCTGCATAGAATTGTTGGCTACAATGTATTACAAACCTTTTGTTAAACCAGATTCTGCAGAACTAGATCTAGAAGCAAAGCTATTTTTAGTAATAGATGGGGGGGGGGGGAAGAGAAGTGGTACCTTATTTGCATGGAATGAACTCTGAGCCCACTGTAGTCAATCTCTTCTTTTTGCTCGAATTCCTTCCATTCATCCTCTTCCTGTACAAAAATAATTTTTTTACAAGCTTGTTACCACTTCCACACCATGAAAGAACTGAAAGTGCAAGTAGTACAGAAACTACAGCACCAGTGTGCCAAAAAGGTATGGAAAGGCAACTCATTTTTTAAATTTCCTATTCATCTACTTTGTCACCTGAACTTAGTAGTTACACATATTAAAATAGTCTGTTGGGATTCAGGACAAGAGATACAGCATTAGTACATTTATCTACTTTCATGCTGTTCATGATGGATGTGTTTTTTAATATATTTGGAGATTCTCAATTAAAAGTTAGATCATACAAATCAAATTACCCATTAAGACGCCAATTTCAACATAAAGTGTTGTGATTGATGATTAACTTTTAACTAGATCCAGAATATGACTTAAGGTTCTTTTGCATTTTAAATGCTGTATAAGGCATGGCTTGGTAAAATACATACAGGGTGCAAATAGGATGAATATTTTTAAAATAAGTTAGTTTTTCCCTATGGTTACAAAAATTACCTTATATGTGTTTCACACTGGCAAGTCATGCAATGTTGTCCCTCCTGACTACAAACACTTGCACTGCCTCTGCTGTTGACCATAATTTTGCCAAGTTGAAGAGTTAAATTTAAGATTCTGGTTACTTTTATAACTTCCGTTCAGAATCCCATGAACGGTAGTGAAACTCAAGTTAGTTTTACCCTGCTCCTTGAAAAAATTACAAGCAGCAGTACTAGTAAGCTCTGCCACCATTAAAGAGTAGGACAAGAGAGGGAGAGAAAGAGACCCCACCCCACCTCCACAGCATCCAAAAGGCTGAAACAAAGAACAAGTCTCATCCTTCTCAGTGTTTTTTGGGAAGGCGGATGACTTCAAACTCCTTGAGACTGATATGAAAGATTAACACCTCATATGCGGGGTCTGTAACAGCACCCTTGTTTCCCCCCCCCCCCCCCAACAGCTGAAGAGGCATAGGGCTTAGCTTCTTATCAGAGCATTATCCTGGGACCCTTCCCTTATCATTTACATCTATCTTTGCTAAGCTAATACCTGTTTGCCAAGACCTGGTTTAAAGTAGCAATATTAATAGCAAATGATTTCATGTTACTGGGAGGGTTGCCTAGAGACTTTATTCCTTCATTAAGAAGGCTACTCTCCATCTGAAGCATTTAAGATTTCTTAGATTACCTTCTAATGGCAAACTTGCCAGATCAGTATTTTCTAAATTAAAAGATTTTCCTAAGTTTTTATTTTCCATTTTATTAGCTTTTGTGTGTTCTATTTAAACAAGCCTAAAGTAATTAACTATTAACATTTCAGTCCACATTCCTAAAATAGAGATAAGTGACTTGATCACTAACCCTGGGCAAGTTAGAAATGTAACTTAGGTCTCAGATTCCCATACCCTCAACCTCTAATTAATCTGCGTTATGGCAGAAACTTCCCTGTGGGGAAGTTATTCTAGACTAGAGGATGGTTTATCAAAGCTTCCTCTGAAGCATCTGGAATTGCCTACTGTCAGAGCCAGGATATTGGACTACATGGAACAGTGGTCTAACCTATTACAGCAATTTGTGTGTTTTCTCTTGCATGCTATCCTTTTCACTACACGGCTTCCCTACATTCACAAAAGCTATCAGCAATCAATGCGGGTTGTAGCCCACGAAAGCTTATGCTCTAATAAATTTGTTAGTCTCTAAGGTGCCACAAGTACTCCTGTTCTTAATGCCTTCATTGGCAGAGATACAAAGGATTTAGTGCACATAGAAATGGGTCCCTTCTGGTTCAGAGGTCCACAGGCCACAGCTCTAGGGAGCCATGTGGTACACTTGCTGGAGTTTCTAGAAGGCTGGCTAGTCACATGGTGATGGATCCTCCTTATTTCCAACTACTAAATCACATTAGGTCAGCCAAATGCTGCCCAGCATAGATGTACTTATTTATGAATAGATATATTAAGCTTCTGGGTTGCAAACGGTGTCTTTTACACAATTTGTGTTTTCCAAGTGTAAGTATAAAGATATTAGACCGGCTTGAAGCATTTGCACATTAAAGCAGGATCATGGGCCTGCAGCAAAAGCCTGGCTTGGTCATTTTCCTGCCATTCCATTTCTATTAGATGCATCTGCTGCAGCTAACACCCCCAGTTTAACGGTATTAGTCTCCTCCCACCTCCCTTATCGCTATGATCTGGGGCCGATTTCGGCGTGTCCAGCCCCACAGCTCGAGCAGAGTCCCCCGAAACAGAAACTGCCTCGCGAGAGCTGACAAGCGCTCAGGGCCCAGCACGTGCGGGGCGGCCCAGAGACACCAGACAGCCACAGGTTCGCCCCCCGCTGGCTGCGGCAGCGACCACACAGGGCTCGCTGCCTGATCAGGGCCTGGGAAAGGGCCCCCACGCAGCCGGGGCCGAGCTCGGAGGCCTGGCCAGCTCCGCAGCGCCGCCCTCTGCCGGCAGGAAGCCGCCGCCGCCCAAAGGAAGCCGCCGGAGGCGCGTCGGGAGCTCCCTGCAAAGCGCTGGCGTAGCCCGGGAGAGCCGGGGCCCTCCTCCTTCCCCCAACGCCCACCCAACACACACACTCAGGGCGCGACGCGCCCCAATACCGTAACCCCCCCCCCCAATCGCACCTTAACCGCCGCCCTGGCGGAGGAGGCGGTGCTGGCGGCGGCCCCGGAGCCCCCCTCGGCCGGCCGAGCTCCCCCAGGCGCGCTGGAGGCGGAGGAGGCCGAGGATGCGGCGGCAACAGCAGCTCCACGGCCCCCTTTCTCCCGCCGCTTCTTCTTGTCCCTCTTGGCGAAGAAATCGTCTAGGCTCCTCTCCTCGGTCTCGGCCATGGCGGCGGCTGCTCCGGTTCGAGCCGGCTACGGCGGGGCGAGCGGGCGTTTCTCTGCCTGACGCGCTGAGGGGGAGCCGCCGGAACCCCGAGTGGGTGCGGGGAGGCGGTTGAAAGAAAGAACCAACAGGTGCGGGGTTGTCTCAATCGGTACCGCCCGGCGGGGCGTCTCTCCTCGACGAAAGGCAATTGGTACCGTCCAACGGTCACCGCTCGCGCCTCGGCTCGAGGAGCCCGTTCGAAGTCACCCCAACGTTCGGAGGCAGCTTTCTGCTCTCCACGTTGGTGGTGGTGGTGGCGGCCGCCGCTTGACACAGCCAGGAACTGGGAGGGAGGAGAAAGCGTGAGGGGGGGGAGTAGGAAGGCGGAGGAGAAAAAGGGCGAGCTATGCTAACTTGCTAGGCGCTCCCGCAAGTGGGTAATATTGCGACAGGCGCATGCGCCTAACAGCGCTGACCAATGGGCTGAGGAGAAGGTTGCTCCTCTGGGCCAATAGAAAACCTCTGGGGTGGGGTGCTGACGTCGATGCGTCAAATTGCGTGCTGTCTGCGTAGGAAGCGACTGGTCCAGCACAGAACATAGCGCAGGCAAGGTTGGTTGAGTTACAATTTTTTTGAGACTAGCACATGCGCACAAGCAAACGCAGAGGGGGTGGATGACGGGGAGCGGGGCTTGAGGTGGCCACACAGGGAACGTAGGTCGCGGAGCCGTCTTCGCCGCGGCCCCTTGTTCCCGCGCGTCTGGTGGGAGGGCCGTGCGCGAGGTAGAGCGCAAGACACTCCCCGGCCTGTGAGCAGGGCGCAGTTAGCGCGGCAGCTAGCGCCCGCCCGCAGTCTTTAGAGCTGGGGGATGGGCGTCGTTCCCGGAGGGGGGGGGGAGAGCAGGAGCAGGAGCGTCATAGCGTCCCCGTTCCGGGTAGCTCTGTGTGCAAGGGTGATGTGAATGAGCCTGTGGTGCGTGTGTACCTGCTTTGCATGTAACCCGAGTAGGAGCTCTGGTGCTGGAAGCGCGTCTCGCTCACCAACAGGAGTGGGGCTAACAAAAGAGATTCTCACCCGCCTCCTCGCTCCTATGGCCTAGCTGCAGTTTAGCACAGAAGCCATGTGGCTTGAGTGCTGGGCCCGCCCTGCTGAATAAAGCCCTCTCTATTATCTAGAGCGCAGTGAGAACTGAGAAGGCAGGTTTCCCACACCACGTTCTGCCGCCACGTGCTAGCCTTGATCTGGGTGGGGTGGGGACTTTATCTAGGAGCAACAAGGCGCGTTCACTTCTGCCTGACTCATGCAGGTTTTGGCTTCTCTGGGCTGAGTCTACCAATTAGTGAAAAATGTGGAACGTGTGTGATATGGGAGCTGGAACCGACCCACCGAAGGCTTTGTGTGGGAACCCCAAAGGGATCTGTTGGGTGGGAGCAACTGTTAGTTCCTCAATTGGCTGGGCTAGATTCGCACTGCTGACATACAGGTGAAAGGCCAATTGATCATTAGGAACAGCCTGAAGCATTCAGTTCTCCTTAAGAACTAATTTGTACTTTGTTGGCAATAAGATTGCTTTCTTGAAATACGTTTATTTATCCAAGTTCTGATCAGGATCACATGCAGGCAAGGTCTTCCACTTTCTGTATACACAGGCAAAAATATCCCCACTGTGCTTTCTCCTCTTCAAACAAACCTTTTAATAAGTATCCCACTGATTTCTAACAGAAGAATTCTCACTACACTAAAACAAATATTGATACAACATCCAAAAACACCTATAAATATGTTTTGTTATATAAAATAATTTCAATATTTATTGCACAGGCTTCACGCTGACATATGTTTCCCCCCATATGGGCCATTAGACTGAATCCATAACTTTCAGATATATGGCACCAACCACTTCTATGGGAGTTGCATGAGCATCTGCCATTAAAGTAGAATGACCTTTCCTATTAGCATGGAGGCAGTAAGAGACTCATAAATCTCTACATGAGGCCTAACCACTAGAAAGGGACAAAGATCTGCACTGTGTTAGCATGGATTACCCAAAGAGATCATTTATCTCCTTCCATCTGAGAAGTACGATGGTAAGGTGTGAGAGAGGTCTGTCATATTAAATGTGTGTTCTATATTCCTATCTCTATCTAGTCTGATGTTACCTTTTCCCACTTGTCTGTTATCATAGCTGTAAAATGAGTGAACAGTAATTCCCAAATGTAGGGGAAATGATGCCTTGGTTAATAAGGGTTAGAAAGTGACTAGAAATATTCAGAGTAGTTAGCAGAAGAGCTGGCATTAGACACATGGGCTCTCAGAAGACAGTTTAGTGCATCTTCCCATAGGCAACACTGTATTGCAGGGTCTTGCTCTCACCTTCTCCCTCCCTCAAAAAATGGTGTGACCTATTGCCATTTGTAAAGGAACAAAATGTGTGAATGTCAAATCTTGGGTAATACTTGGTGGCTTGATCTGGGAGGAAGGGGTGTCTCCAGATGTGTGAAGGGGTTTAGGGTTCCCAAATGTATGTGGAAATTGTGGGGTGGGCCTCTGGAGGTGAAGGGAGGGGTGGGAGGGAGAAGCTGGTGAGTGTTCAGTTATGTGTCTGCCTCATCCACTTTGCCAGAAATGGAGGTTTGAGGAGAGGGGAAAAGTTTCCAGATGTGAAGTTTACTTTTTCTGGGCAGCTAAAGGTCTACAGGTATGAAATATTTTTGGTGTGTCAGGATGGGATTGTTAAGGAAATGTGTCTATGTTAAATTACCAGGAGTTCATGTTAGAAGCCTTTGTTGTAAGTAGCTTAGTAAAAACATGGTGGACTATTGCATTCCATTAAAGATTATTATTATTTCTATAATGTAATAGGTATGTATAGTGCTTCACAGACAATAAAAAGTGAAGTGAAGACTTTGAATTCTGGCAAGCATCTCTAATTTATTTACTCCTTGTCCAATTACTTCAAATTTGATACGTATTCTGCCTCAGTCCCAAAATTAAACTATCAAGTTTGAGCTTGGATTTTACAGGGGGGAAACAAAACTGAGTTAATAATGGAAATGAAGATGCAATATTAACTATGGAATAACTGCCACTGTATCAAAACAGGATTTAATTTCAAGTAGAATGTATTTTTGGGTTATTGAATCCACCCATGTGGAATTAATTGCAGAATCTGGGCCCAGTATATTAAACTGAAATGTATACATAGGAGCCATGATCTGACTAGACCCTCTTGGGTTTGTTCTGTGGATCTTTTAGGGGGGATCAGCGTTGGCTTTAGAGTTGTATGTTAATACAGGGGTCTGTCCTGGATTTGGTACTGTTAAAATTTTTCATTAATGACTTGGATAATGGTATACTTAAAATTTGTGAATGACACCAAGCTGGGAAATTTGCAAACACTTTGGAGACAGGATTAGAATTCAAAATGACATTGATAAATTGGACAGTTGGTCTGAAATCAACATCGTTGCACTCTGCTTGGCACTGGTGAGGCCTCAGTTGGAGTATTGTGTCCAGTTTTGGGCACAACGTGGAGAGAATCAGAGGACAGCAACAAAAATGATAAAATGTTTAGAAAACTTGACCTATGAGGAGAGGTTAAAAAAACTGGACATGTTTAGACTTGAGAAAAGAAGACCAAGGGGGAGGGGGAATCAGTTAAGTCTTCAAATACATTAATTGCTGTTATAAAAAGGGCAGTGATAAATTGTTCTCCATGTCTTCTGAAGGTAGGACAAGAAGTAATCAGCTTAATCTTCAGCAAGGGAGACTATTAGGAAAAACTATAAAAGATAGTTAAGTACTGGAATAAGTTACTGAGGGAAGTTGTGGAATCCTGGCATTGGAAGTTTGTAAGAATGGGTCAGACAAATCAGCTCTCAGGGATGGTCCTCCCTCAGTGCAGGAGGAGGGACTAGATTACCTCTCAAGGTCCTTTCCAGCCCTCCATTTCTGTGATTTATTGTCAATGGCTTATTGTTGCAGTGTTGCCAAATTCTGGATTATCTGGTATGCTGTTTGATCAAAGCCTGGAACTGAGTGGAGGAGACGCTATAGACCTAGCGTAGTAGCAGATCTGTTCCACTCAAGTAAACATTACAAACAAAAATTTTTTTTTTTTTTAAAGCCAGATACTGAATCTGTATGCACTGGAATGAATGTTTTTCTGCAACATTGGACCTGGGTGGGAGTGAATCTCATTTTACTCTGATAGCTGGAATCTAGTATATATTGGAAAGGTAAGAAGCCATAGCTGTTATCTATGTAGATTGTCCAGTCTTGTTTCTAGTTTTGAGTAGCACAATGGATTTACAGTGCTGTAAACTGATTTCTTCAGCCCAGTTGATGAACTCAATCAGTAAGGCCTTCAAAAAATACTGCACACTTGTTAAAACCAGGTGTAATTACTGGTTTCTGTTCTTTCTATACTCCTAACTGATGAACAGATGTAATGAAACACATTTTTTACTTTTGGTCAATTACTTGGTATATACCTATTTGTCATCCTGAAAATTAATGTTAATGTTTGTATATATAAGGAAATATCTCTCTTGAGCAAAGGTAAAGTAGAAGAAGACATTAGGGAAATCAGTTTGCAGGAGAACATAAGTAATTGAAAAGAGAGAGTGGGAAAGCCCCATTGTCAAAAACAGGGCATTGGTTTAAAATAGGAAAAGCATTTTTTCTTAGATATATAAGTGCATTGGCCTACTACAAAATGTGTACTGCACACAGGCCTGCTGTTTAGGAAATGTGTGTGTGTGTGTGTGTGTGTGTGTGTGTGTGTGTGTGTGAGAGAGAGAGAGAGAAAAAATGCAGGGACACCGATACTAAAAAGTTCAGCCTCCAATGGACAAATTAAGAGCTGGAAATAAATAAGAATGAGTCTGTGCTTCAAAATGTGTTGTCAGATGTTTTGGAACTCAGCACATTTTGAAGACCAGGATAAAACTATCAGCAATGGAGATAAACCTTAAAATGGTGCACTTTTAGTCATGTAAAATTATTACTGTATGTTATGTTTATTAGTCTGCCATAATCAGAAGCATCTGCTGCTTACGTGCTAACCAGAATTATCTGTCAAATATTGGTAGCAATATTTATATTCCTATTTTTAGTGCCATTTTATAACTTCGATATTTTTTTCTTAGAGCAAAATTATGTATTCCTAAACTTTGGAGGATAGTGTTGGATAGATTTTTGTCTTGCTGGATTAAAATACTACTACCACTTTGTGCTTTCCATCCATAAGTCTCAAAATTCTTGAATAAAGAGAAGTGTCATTGCCATATTTAAGAAAGGAAACTGA